GTTTTGACGTGCATATATGCATTTTTAAAGGGTGGTATTATCCCTTAAAGATAAAATAAATATTATAGAATCATTAAAAAGGGCGAAACCGGCCGTAAGTTAGCTGATAGGTATGGTGTAGTGTAGATACATCTACTATAAGCGATATTAAAAAGAATGCCGCTTCAATTTTGTCGTACACTTGCAAGTTAGATAGTAAAGAGGGTAGTGAAAATCTTAGAAGAAGCTCTATATTGTTGGTTTTTACAAAAACGATCAACAAATTATTTGTAAGCAACTTTTCTTCTTCATTGATACTTTACGTACTACCTGATTATTTTAGCTCATGTTAATATAATATGTATAATGTAATCTAAGAAAATACTCGTATGTAAGTGTTAATTTTCTAATAAACATCGATTTTTGTTGATATCTATGTATGCATTTGTTATTTTTAATAAACAAAACATTATTCTTCATAATTTGGATTATCCGGATTTTCGATTATCCGGATGCCTATCGACAAAAATTAGTCCGGATAATCGAGGTTTTACTGTATAAGTAACGTATAGAATTTGAACTAAAACAATTTCCTTTTTAATTATTATAAGTTTAGTTAATTGCAAATATGTAAGCAAAATATTATAAGAAGTAATACAATTAGAAAGTGAAGTTTTGTGAAAATTTTGGTTTTTGCGAAATTCTCAGTAAATGAATTTAATTATTTACTTTAGTTTTTCTTTAATTATCCAATATTTTTAAAAGGCTATTGATCCAAATGTCAACGTCTAGTCAGACGGAGAAACGAACGGATATCACAACGATAGAGTTCCGGTTGAATTCAATATGGGTACATATGCCAAGATTAAAAAAAATGAATTGATGGTATACAATCTATCGTTGAATTTCAGAGTCAGGAATTGATAATGTTATGCATATTTTTGATACAGAAAAAACTCTACATATGAACGGCATCGGACATGAGTGGGGGCTACGCATGTCTACATTGAATGAAATAGTAATAGCCGTATAAGTGCAAATATATTAGAATTTTGAAGAGAGAAAGAAGAAGTGAAATGATCTAGTTGAACGTATATATGTTGTGTTACAATTAAGTTTTACATCAGTGTTGATCAGTAATCCAAACATCGACGGACTTATTAATATAAATTCATATAATTTCTTTGAAATTATTAATTAATCTATCCTCTGCAGAAGGATAAAATTTTAAAATAATTCACAATGGCAATGTGTTTAAAGCTAGTATGTGTTCTTATTGTGAGTGTTTTGGCACAGTGTTACGCGGATAAGTGCAATGGAAGCTCGTGTCAGCATGGAGCGCGGGTCGTACGGGAAGCTTTGGAGCAGTATGGTCCCGCAGGAAGCGCTGACGTTATGAATTTGGTCGATGGAATTGAAGTTGTCGAGGTTGTGCCACTAGGTGAAGCAAGGGCCAACGGCGGCGGATCACCATCGCCAAACGAGCCCTTGCTGAGCCGACTGGCCAGATTCCTCGAATCACACGAACTCAAGATTAAATTAAATAACTTAATGCCTGGATCCCAAGTTAGAGAATTCTTAACCGAAACTTACAAGGATATCGAACAAGACAAAACTCTCGGAGGTGAGATAATCGTGTAAATTGGTTAGCACAAATGGATTAATGCGTGCAATTATGAATTTTTGTACATGTGTATTATATAGGTGGATTCATAATTTCTATTACCTATATGAATACATTCATTTTAATAAATAAATTTATTTATAATATTATATGTCAATAATATAATTCAACTCAACGCTAAATTAAAAGAAAACGTATGTCTCAAAAAATTAAATCATAATCAAGTTCTATATAATTTAAATCGTTTTTTGTTATGTTTGAAAATATAAAAAAATAGTTTTGATAACATTATAAATAACTAGAAAACAAGCAAAAAATTTAAATTAAATGTGAAAGCTGTTTAATTCCATTAATTTGATAGCCTTTAAAAAAATGTTTCAGCTAAATATGCTTGATGCACTTAAATTTGATACAAAATAGACATATAAGTTTACTTTGCATTTATGTAATTTATCGTAAAAAAATATTTGTGTTGTTTATTCAATAACGAGTAATTTTATATCTGAACTAGAAACATTGAGCTAATATTCGTAATTCCCTTATATAATTAATTTGACATCCTCCTACAGAGGCACGTAAGAAGGAAAAAGGAGGCAGCGGCATCATCCTGATGATGGCTTTGATGATGGCAAAGATGAAGGCTATCCTTGGTTTCGGTGGTATCGCTGCAATTGCCCTAAAAGCCCTCGGTGTTGCCATGATGGCTTTGATGATTTCAGCAATAATCGGTGTCAAAAAGCTATCCGAGCACAGCCACGATGACGGCGGCCACCACGTGAGCTACGTATCCATCCCGCACCACGACGAACATCACAGAAGACGGCGAGATGCCGAGGCCGACGCAAATGCATTTGCATACCGCGCGTGGCGTCAACAGTACGAACCCAAGACCGCTCACTATGCATCATGATGATCGAATATTTCGATCCCGGCGACGAAATATGCGATTGATCCCGATAACGGGCTAGTAGTAACACATTAATTTATTCAACTATTTATATCTTCGATTTAATGCTGAACGTTGTGACGCGATTGTTTATAAAAGCCCCACATTACGGGCGATGTACATAATTTATTGTATTTATGAAGTATTGAGTTAAATATTTTATAAATTTATTTATTGTTATAATATATTATGAAATAAAGTCAAATATACAAAACTTTGGTAACTTACTTTCACCCACAATTGGAAGAGGAAAATATCCGGTTCTTTGAACTTACGAATTAAATATCTTCTCTTCTAACAGCGAAGTTTTCAGTTCTTACAGCAAAATTTATGAAGTTCATATCAAACACAATGATGAAGTTCTAGCTGAATATGATTGCAGATTCGTAAGAAAAAATGAATAACATTGTTGACATAAGGCTCGTAAAATGTTAACTAATTCTCCAATCTTACTTGATATTTTACATATCAATTATTCGATTTTAGATGTCTTCTTTATTTAATAAATCATATAGCTAAATTGTCAGTTATTGAAATGAAAAAAAAATGTCTGTTCACATTTGTTATTATTATCCTGTAATCTAAGTACCATTTAATGGACCAAGAGCTACTGAACCTTTTGAATAACGGTGTTTCTGTGAGGCTAAAAATTATTGTTTATGGTTCTTAGAGTGCTAACAAGTAAGTACAAAAACTATCGTTTGGCAGGTTTCAGCCCTGCACATCATAGTCGCCCACAAGTTTAAAAATGCATAAAAAACGAAAATTATACTTTTACCTGTGAGCTTCAAATTTTTATACGATTCAATTTACTCATTGAGAAGTTCAAAAACCAAAATATCAGGCGATTTCAACCTGCACAAGTACCCGCCAGATGTTTGCATTTTCAAACTCCTGCGCGTCCACGATGTGCAGGGTTGAAACCTGCCAGACGATGGTTTTCGTGCTTAGGACGCTAAGTACAGAAGTCCATTTTTTCTAAAATCTCAATATTCTCAAAAATCATTTTTTCTCTAATATTTCAAAAAAATTTAAAGTTTTTCAAAATTTTAAATTACGGTACCAAAAGTTCAAGCAATTTGCCTTAAGGCACGGTGTCATGCACCAATAGTTATTTGGATTTATAATAATATACCTATATGTTGCGCTACTGTGGGTAAAATTAATTGTTCATTTGTAAAAATTGCTCAGCGATACACTTTGCTCGAAATTTCCAGTTTTTGGATAAACACGCTAATTGGCTACTGTCAGTGCTTTCTAGAATAATGATGTATAAAAGAAATTAATCCAAGTGGACTTATTCTTGAACATTTCTAAATGGCTTCAAAAACATGATAAACATATATACCGTGTATACGAAGAAAAGATTATTATATAGAACAAAGTATAATATATCTATATATTTTTATAAAATAAAATCATCAGTGTGGACTTATTCTTGAACATTTCAAAATAGCTTCAAAGGTTTACTAACATTATTCCGTATACAAAGTACAGAGTTATTTGTAATTAATATATCTATTTATTAATGTAATTGAGCTCAGATTCAAACTGTGATGCAATGGAATTTGTTCAAGTTGCAAGAAAAGCAAAACAAACAGCGTTACATTTACACAAATAAGCAGTAGGTAATTCAAAGTATTAAGGACAAATAGACAAGAAATAACATTATTACGGTGTATCAGCTTAGAAATGTAATCAAGATTACTATTTTATTATAAAATTGTTATAAGTTTAACAATTAACAGAATAAAATATTACTAGAAAACTTAGGCCATTAAAATGATTGACACACAATTTTTAATAAGTTCACCAATTAGATGTAGATATTAGAAGATAGAGAAACCTATAATTCATAAATTTATATTCTGAAGAATCGACCTGATTACTATTTAGTAAAGATCGGTGAGGCTATTTCTTCGTAATTAGTTGTTAAACTTTTTAAAACCACTTTGGAATTTTTAAAAATGTTTGATACGTTTCTTTTACTAACGGGTGGTCCATCTAGTGGTCCTAGTGATTTAGTGATCTTACGGTTTAGATATTTTTGTAAAAAAATCATATAAAGTATTATATATCGTTAGAAAGGTCTCAAAATTCTTAGTTTTTTTTTTCATATATCGCAACTTCGAATTCCGCACGGTGTGGCCTACAAGCAAGTTGCTATCGATAAATTCCAATTTTTAAATGGGCCACCCTATAGTTCGAGTCCGTTCAGTGGCGATGTTTATTTTTACTTTGAAATATATTAAAACTATTTTGCCATTTGAAAATGAGCCCGTCACGAACACTGCAGTGTGAAATAGCAATGGGAAACCTCTCGCACTATTCTTTCCTGAACTGAGTAGAAGTTTAACCCAGCTCACGGACCTGCCCTAAGGCAGTACTACCCATTATAAGTATTATTATATATATATATATATATATATATATATACAGGGTGTCACTGACCTTGACGTCAAGCCCAAACGGGGTGATAGTATTGACCTCACATGTTCTGAAAAAAAAAATAGAAAAAAGATCTCAGTTTGTTTGAAAATTATGAACCTAAGGCTTTGGTGAAATCACCATTTTTTGGTTTTTGTAGTTAATTTTTCATAATTTTGTGCATTTGAACTTTAAAACCGCTATTAGCAGGCAGTTTATCGACTCAAAAAACATGAGAAAAATATCCTCAAAATAAACTACACCTAAGTCTGTTTTTACACGGTCTTTTTGTACACGGTTTTGATATAACACGGTTTGAAAATTGAATATTTTTAATTTTTTTACACGATTTTATTCCATTTAGCACGATTTGAAATTTTATGTAATTAAATTTTTTTTGTCAAATTTAATTTTTGCGAAGTATGTTCATATCACAAAAAAAGTATTTATGAAAGAAAAAAGTCTGAAACCATCGATAGTATCAGAATTATATATTTGATTTAATAAAATAAACATGAATTCTTGTTCTTAAAAATTCTTGTTTTTCACTAATTTTAATAGGTTTTAGAGATTAGGAACAAATCACCCATTTTTGTATAAGATCAATGTCTTTTTTACACGTTTTTTTTTTTACACGGATTCTTCTGGAACCAATCTCCGTGTAAAAACAGACTTAGGTGTATTCAAAGCGCAAAACACCTTTGAACTGCGACAACTTCGACTGTGACAATTTTTTGTTTTTTTTTTTAATGTCCTATGAGCTGTTGGGCTGAAACTTCTCCTTACTTCGTATTTTTAAAAAGTAACCCAATGGTTAATCCATCCATATTTCATAATTTTTGTTATTAGAATTAATCTAATAGAGCTGACTTTTTATTGATGCAGCAATGCCGGGCAAGGGCTATTTTCACTTGGAAACATATTGCTATCTATATTTCCAAGTGAAAATCGTTGTCACTGCTGCCTGACAATAGGCTGCTCGAAGTGGGTATCGAACCCGGGACCTCTGAAACAAGTCCCGTCGCTCTTAACCGCTTACCTACGGGCGAGCCCAACTGTGACAATGAATTATAGCTTTTTTCATATTATACAGTCGCGTAAACGTTAATAAAACAATGTTTAAATAAGACCACTGTGTTTTTGTTCATATATGCCTTACACTATAAATAGTATTAAACACTAAATTAGGCAAAACGCTAATATTGATTTAAAATTATTTCCTACAATCTAACATTTTTCTATCTATATTCTAATCATTCAAATAGTTAAAATTTTCAAAAGATTCTTATAACTGAAATGGTTCTTCGGGTGAATCTTACAGATATTAAAAAAAGAACTCATTGGCATGGAAACTACAATTTGCAGTTAGTGAAAACATTTAATCATCAAACTACAAAAATATATGTATTTTCAACAAAAATAAATGTAAATTTGTTATAGATATTTTTATACTTTTTGCATCGTACCTCTAAAATTAGTGAGCAAAAATTGAATTAAAATCGGTTCAGCCATATTCGTGCCATGGACATACATCCAGACATAACACATTATTGAAACGTGAATATTTAAAAACAAAACATTTTTTAATTTGTTTGCAATTTTAATAACTTAAACTGCCAACGGAATATTAACCCTTACCGGTCTCCCTGAGAGATCACATAAATCTGTTCGTGCGCTGGTCTGTCTTTTCTCTGAGACACCCGGCTGTTTGTATGCATTCAAAGATTCAAACTCAGTTTGCATTCAAACTGTTAAATAGAAAGATCAAGGATGGGTAAACCGTGCCCGTGGGTTTCATGCGGCCTTTTAAATATTTTTCTGCTGCCCTTCAAGCATTTCTATAGTAGTATCATTTATGTTTACTTATCTATGAGTAGTATTTTATTTATAACTAGATGACCCGACAGACGTTGTTCTGTACTCGTGTCTACAATTTTTCAATATAAAATACTAATATTTACCGTTCACCTAAAAATAATAATTATTGTTTTTTAAATTACTCTTCACGATAAAATGCATATGCTTTTATAATAGGAGTAATGTAAAATGTAGAACTGCTTTAAATAAAATGATGAGTCTCAATTCCCACACTATATTGAAAATTGAAGTCTTTTAAACGGTATAACATAACCATACCTATAACATGACACTGGTACTTTATGTTCGATTAAATCAATTTAATTTTATATTATTTGAGATATCCAAAATTGCATTTTAAACTTCTCCTAATCTATATATTATATTATTTTAATTTCTGGCACTTTCAGTTGCTTTTTGGCAATAATAATGTAGACATTTCATTTTTATTATTCATAATCATAAATTTATTATATATATTCTAATATTGTCTATGTTCATAAGTAAATTGAAGTTTTTGGCAGATGACAGTTTTCTTTTTTTACATTTATATCTACCATATTGCACATTCCACTACTTTATAATCACAAACTCCCTAGAAAATTTCTTTAACAAACTTCAGAAAGATTTATCAAAATTCGAATAATCGTTCAAAAGGAATATGCAGTGAGTGCTTGTAATTTAGTATGAACTTTATATAAGCTCAAACTGATTCTACGCTTTAGTTAGGAAACGTTTGTATGAGAAAAAGAAAAGGGCTGTTTTTAGGGTTTTCCCGGTAATTATTCGAATTTTTCTCGCCGTAAGAACCATCCTTGGACTGCAACAAACATTTTAGAAAAAGAATTGGCCAAATTGGTCCAGGCATTGTTGATTCATGCGCTTACTAACATATTTTGCGTTTCATTTTTATATATAAGATGTATTCTTTTCTTGTTTCATAAATTTATGACATATTTACTTTTTTTAATTTAGTATTTTTATATTATGATGTTTATTATTATTAGTATATATCAAGTTTTGTAAATTATTAAGAAGTTCGGCCTACCATAAAATTGTGAAACTTAAATGCGACCCGAGAGTTGAAAAGGTGGCTCATTCTTGAGAATTAATGTGTGCAAAGAAAATAGTGTTCTCTTTTCAGAATTCACTAATAGTTATTTTCGAAGTATTTTCTAATCTTTTTTTTTAATGCGGTAAAATGACCGTACAATTCATAAAGCAAAATTTTCATAGAAAGCAGAGTCATATAAAAAACCATGTACGTACTACACTTTTCTGTGGAATGATATAAAACTGTGACGATGCTAAATAATTATAACGACAGTGGGATCAATGCTCTATGCCTGCTTGAAATTTCTTTAAACTTTAACATACTGCAGAAAATAAATTTAGATATTATTGTAAATGTATGTTCAATGACCACCAAATTCATATCAAATAAGTTGGATAAGATAGACAATAATATCAAATTTACAGCAGGTACGTTTTTGTCAGAACGCCGCACCGAGTTGCTAGTAGGGTTTGTCGGTTTTCAAAAACCGGTTTTAAAAACCGGTTTTTTGACGAAATTTATGAAATTCGAAAACCGGTTTTTTTGTAAAAAATCTTATCAGTCTGCTATGGTTCCCAGAAAGGTTTTGTGTTTTATCTTTTGTCTAATGTATATATTAATTCTAATGTTTATACGAGTGTTTATATTATTTCCGATCAATGGACTTCTTGTTTCTTTATGTGTAGTTTATAAGTTCAGTATTCAGTGTTCAGTGCCATTGATCGATATTTGATATAGATAAAATAAAAAATGTAAGTAGTTAACATATTTTATTATTATGAAAATATATATTATTATTTAAACTATTTATATTTTTGTAGTCTAAAATGTCAGACGTGTAGAATTATTTTAAAAAAGTAGACAAAGAAAAAACGCGTTGTATTTATTGCAATAAAATGCTTTCTTGCAAAGGATCAAGCACAATTTACATAATCATTTGAAAACAGTACACGATAAAAAAAAAGAAAAAAATTGTCGGATGCCGGCTCGACTTTACAAACATGTACACAACCACGTATTTTTAATTTTGTGAAAAAAACTTGTTTAGAAGAAATAGTGTCAAAGCTCGCTGCATTAGATGGACTATCAATTAATTGCATAACAAAAAGCTCATTTATAAGAGAGTCATTACAAAAACGGAATTATTGCTTACCACAGAATAATTCTAGGGTTATGGAACTTATTTACAACTTTTACGAATCTATAAAACATGAAACTATAAATGAAATAAACTGTATGAAAAATAAAAGACAAAAATTTTCTATAACTATAGATGAATGGACTAGTAAAGGAAATCGAAGATATTTAAATATTTTTAAAATCACAATTTTTTTCAAACAAAAAAATAATTAGAATTTTGAAAATTAATTAATTGAAACTACTGGAAATAGAAAATACTCGCGGCTTAGCTTAATTGTTTTTAAAACTAAAATTGATATTATCAAGGATGTATCTAATTTTTTAATTGAATAAATGTATTTTTTTAATTTTAAATTGATTCATTTTTTCGAAAATTCGAAATTTTCTTTCACTATCATAGAAATATTTACATTCTTATATGTGAAAATAATGCATAATTAACGGATAATTATTTTCAAAATTATTTAATCCACATAAACTATTATATAACTATTTTTGATTTACTAATTAAAATTAAAATAATTTTGTTTACTATCCATAAAATTTAACAATAAATAATTTCAATCAAATACTGCTTAAAATCGCACTAAATTTGTGGATAAATTTTTGTTATTAACAGAATATTCGAGCAAAAATTTATTTCCCATATAAAATTCGAAAACCGGTTAAAACCGGTTTTCTGGCAAAATTAAAATTCGAAAACCGGTTTTCTGAAATGTCGGTTTTTGTATAAACCCTAGTTGCTAGTAGATTGTTTTTAACTCGTTAACTTACAATAGCGAGCAGAGCCCGCTTACGATGGGTAGGCCAAACGTAAATATTACGGCCATCGTCCGGTACGGTGATTGAAATTATTACAAAATATTTATACGAAACTATAAAACACAAAATTATTTTTAATTTTGTGATAAACTGTACACTGTGTGAAAAAATAGTCACAAACCCTGCACCAGTTCGAACGACTTTAGTCCGACAATTTCGAATCTAAATCATAAGTTAAGGGGTTAAGGGGTTAAATCGGTGTCGGCCGGTAAGGGTTAAAAAGAAATATAATAAAATAAGCTAAATAAGGTATTTGAAGCATGTAAAACACCTTAACTTACAATGACGAGCAGAGCCCGCGTACAATGGCTAGACCAAACGTAAATATTGCGGCCATAGCCCACGTTCGATAATCAGGCCAGAAGAAAATATTACGGATTACGGACATGGGCCGATACGACAATCGCAAGTATTACAAAATATTTATACAAAACTATAAAACACAAAATTATTTTAATTTTTGGGGCTCGCCCGTTGTAAGCGGTTAAGAGCGACGGGACGGACTTGTTTCAGAGGTCCCGGGCTCGATACCCACTTCGAGCAGCCTATTGTCAGGCAGCAGTGACAACGATTTTCACTTGGAAATATAGATAGCAATATGTTTCCAAGTGAAAATAGCCCTCACCCAGCATTGCTGCACCAATAAAAAGTCAGCCCTATTAGATTAATTCTAAAAACAAAAATCATCAAATATGGATGGATTAACCATTGGGTTACCATCTACAAAAATACGAAGTAAGGAGAAGTTTCAGCCCAACAGCTCATAGGACGTAAGGTTCTGATTGCTGTTCAAAAAATAATAAAAATGAAAAAAAAAATTGTGATAAACTGTACACTGCGTAAGAAAATAGTCACGAATGCTATGCCAGCTTGAACAACTTTGGCCAATTTGGAATTAATTATTTGGAAATATTGATATTTTTTTCACACATATACCTATTTGTTTTATATGAAAAATTCGGTATTAATTGTATTACCTTGTGCTGTAATGCTTTATCATGGAACGTACTTAAGCGCATTTTCATTCCATGTCATCTCAAGTTATCATCAAATCCAAGTTATCATCAAATCCAAGTTATCATCAAATCCAAGTTATCATCAGATTTTTGGTGCTAAAAGAATAAAATTATTATTAACATTTACCTAACATAATAATGTATTATCAATCATTTAAATTCTAATATAATAATACATGAGTACTGACGCAATCGTTACTATCATACGCACCGAACAGAAACAAATCGAAAAATCTTCATTGAGTTTGATGCATTTTATTGTTTGCCAGCCAACACACTTTATTTTTTAAATAAGTACAAGCACTGTAACACCATTTTATGTATAATTATTTATGACTATCACTATTTAGAATTTGCACATGTCCGATAGAAAAAAATTATAATTTTGACAACTGGCAGCTCACTCGCCTGCGACCGCCTGCGAATGTGCCTGTTGCAATACTAACAACCTGCAAGGCGCAAATGCTCTTCATGCCCATCCTAATCTATAAACTTAAACCTTATTTGTTTATCATATCTAATGAATTCTAATTTGAAAAATTATACATCAATTGCGTAACAATGTTTCAAACATATTTTGAAACGTATATACCCTAATACATAATTTAACTAGTGGTTATGGCATCGTGACTTAAGGCAAATTGCTGGAACTTCCCGTACTGTGATGAAATATGCGAGCAATATTAAATGTTTATAAATAAATTATTATAAATATTGTAACACTGTCTAATATTTATAAGAATTGTATAAACTGAATTACAAAGTTGAAATCATTTGTTTAAAGTATATTAGAACTTTAGTCAGAATTAAAATTAAAACCTAAATTATTTTCGATATACAAAAAAATTTTTTTTTTTGAAAAAAAAATTTGAAACAAAAATATTTTTTTTCCAAAAGCAATTATTTTGTTAAAATAAGCAGAAAATTCTTTGTATCATTCAAATCGGACGCTAAGTTCCCTCAAAAACTGCCATTTTTTGCACATTTAGCTCTGTATCTCCGAAACGGCTGGACCAAAATCTAATCACCGCTTCTCCCCGTCATTACGAATTGAATGTTTTTTGGATCATTCAAATCGGATGCTCCATTCTTTCAAAAACTTAAGGGGGGCGATACATGTAATCGCCTTAATTTTTACCATTTTTTGAGGACTTTTTAAACTGGGAAGGAATGATTGAATCTTTTTGAACTTTTTTAGGGTTATTTATTATATATTAAAATACACAAAAAAAATTTTTTTTTAATTTTTTTTTTTTAAATGGCTGCCGTAAAAATTAATCTGCCAAGACCCTCTCGGAAAACGCCATCAATTTGCGGGCGTTCTCACTTTTCGTACGGTGATCTGAATTTAAAAAAATTAGTTTGTACGTGTTCATGAAACATATATCTTCTAGTTAAACCAAAAAAAAATTAAAAAAGTCACAAAATCGTAAATTGGCACACCTTAGAAAAAAAAAGTTCGATTTTTCACCTTTTTTTCAATGTTTTTTTTGGCAAAAGGTTTAATTTTTGAAAAAAAATTTGGAATGTTTGAGGTTTAACTAGAAGCTATTACTGTAAAGTAGATGTGTGCAAAATTTCATTGGAATCGGTTGAGAACTTTTTGAGTTATCCCGCCCGCAAATTTCAAAAATGTCGTTTTGAGAAAAACGCGTTTAAAGTTTTGACACAGAAACAGATAAGAGTACAATAGCACTCAAGCGTCGAGTTGAGGCGTGGCACTTAAATGAGTTTTTCTTGTATAAATAATGATAATTTTTGATAATGTTTGTATAATATATTTCTTGTATAAATAATGATGTTATTGTAACGATTTATGAAAGAAAAAAAAATCGATTTTTTTTTCTTGTTACATGTATCGCCCCCCTTAATATTCTATTTTTTGCACTCTTTGCTCCATATCTCCGAAACGGCTAAACCTGCCTTTACCAAAAACTAATCAGCACATCTCCCTATCAATGAAAATCGAATGTTTAAAGAACCATTAAAATCGGTTTTTGGTTTTAGATTATTTTAGGTACATGCAAGAACTGTTCACCACTGTTTTCAATTAATGGCATGCCATGAGCTCAGCGTGGCTTGCAGTTTTCTGATCACCTTAATATGTTTTTCTAATTTCAGCTTAAATATGTGTTGTCCATGTTCAAAGTCACTCAGAAGTTGAGTCGTAATGTTCATGATTAAGTATATAACGAACATTAATTTGTTTAGAAGTGGAATTCTTTAAAAACTTAACTATAAACTAAACTACAAACTAATCCATATAAAGACTGAAATCAAGAATTATGATACTGTTAATGAATATATAGCATGTTTAAGCCTTTTCAAATGTATTACATATAAAATTAAAAATTCAGTATAAACTTTCAAAGTCAAGGAACTCTAAGCCAAGAGTTATGACACATATGTATTCAATGAATATAAAGCAACATTTTCAATTAATGCATATAAACCTAATATAAACATTCATTTATCACCCTCTTCTTTAATGATAGAAGTTTGTATATTTGCTAAAATGGTACATACATACATAATGTTATCAGCTAAAAATCTAAAAATAAGATCCTTCGGTATATGATGCAGTATTATAAAAACTCTCAATCTCTGTATAACTCGTTCAACATGTATACGCACATGAGTACGTTTGATGATATCTTCTGGCAATAGTAATCCATTTTGGACAAAAGGGAGATGAACAAGAACAGCCATATTTCTTAATTTATCTAATTAGGTCCGAATAGGTGGAAATCCTGAATACGAAGCACAATTGGAAACTATATAAGTCTTTCTTTACTCATGAATTTACCGTTGTAAATATAGCATCTCCAGGTTCTTATTTATTTAATATTCCCGAAAGCATAGTAATTTGGGTGTCAGTTATTCAGCCCAAACCCACATCACCTACAAAGGAAATAAAGCCGGATGGCTTTATGAACACATGGCATTCTATTATTGTCTAGGAGTGCAACCAATCAGAACCTATAAATAAATAAGATTAATTGAAGTACTTTCAAAATATTATTTATATTGTAGCTACAAAAAAAGTTTTACACACCTTTACTGAATACATTCTTTTATAGTTTGAGTATGTGTAGGCTGCATGGTCAATACTATGTGGAGTATCAGTCTCAATCTCAAAACAATCAAGAATAACAGAATAACTCTGCATTTCGGATACAACTTCATTAATTGTTTCTTCAACGGTTTTGTCTAATCTTGTATTGATAGCCACATCCTTATCTATGGCTCATGGTATTCTAATGTTGTCTAGACTGATAGCTCTATGTGCTTACCTAACGAGTGTAAACGTCAAAAGTATCAACATAACCAAACAAATATTATTTCCTCAAGCTTCAATTACAAATGATACTTTAGTTAGTACGCAATATTATTGATATAAAAAATGGATCGTGAAGGTAAATAATACATAATAATACCATATTTCTCCAACGTTGATCTTGTCTATGACCGTTTCAGAGATAAAAACATTTTTCGAAGACATATTAAAAACAGAAACCGATGTCTCTGCTGGAATGGCTGCAATTCGAACACTATTAAAAGTTCTGGAATGTTATAATAGTGAAACCGTACAGGAACTGCATGCTTCTCTACAATCTGCTGTTGAAATAATGAGGAGTACCGATCAACCAGTAACAGCAGTTGCTTCAGGCTGCGAACTATTCTTGAGGTTCATTACATTAGCTAAACTAGATCAGGAAACCTTTGCCGAATGCAAACAAGTCATGTTACATCGAGGAAAATTATTCTTAAAGAAACTAGTCGAAGCGAGAGGTATCATAGCAAAACTAGCTTCACAGTTTATAACCGATGGCTGTGCAGTTTTAACACACTCCAGATCAAGGGTTGTGCTCGAAACATTGAAAGAAGCAGCCAAAAGTAAACATTTTCATGTGTTTGTTACAAACTCAGCACCTGATAATAGCGGTGAAGTGATGTGTAAAAATTTAGAATGCGAAGGTATACAATGCACACTTATTTTGGATTCCGCTATTGGCTGTATTATGGAGCAAATCGATATAGTTATGGTTGGAGCCGAAGGTGTAGTGGAGAGTGGTGGAATTATTAATAAAGTTGGAAGTTATACTATGGCATTGTGTGCTAGGGAAATGAAGAAACCATTTTATGTACTTACTGAAAGCTTTAAATTTTCTAGATTATATCCGCTTAGCCAACAAGATGTGCCTGCAGAATTTAAATACACTACAACAACACGCATACAAAAGAATTTAAGTCATGAGCACCCTCTTGTAGATTATACACCACCAGCATATATATCATTGTTATTTACAGATTTAGGTATATTAACTCCATCTGCAGTTAGCGATGAATTAATTAAATTATATTTATAGTTTATCAATAAATATAGTAGAAAAAAATTGAAGCATTATTTTTGTATTTTATTCATCTTATCCATATTAGTAGTTACTATCCATATTATATTCTTCTTTTATCTATGTTACTATCATACTAATACCTTTTTTATAGATTGATATTGTTCAAGTCATTGAAGTTGAATAAAATGATTTTTATTTATATCTCGTTTGATAAAAACAATTTGCTATAATGCTCCAAAATTTACAAAGTACATGAATTATGCGAATGTACGTAATATGACTTTGCACTATATTCTAAAACTTCTTTAATACAATATAATGCAACATATTATTTATTATTGTTATAGATACCAACATTTAATTTAATATATGTATATACATACATGAAGTAACATTTGTTTTTTTTTTTTTTGAAAAATAAAATAAAACTTATATATGGAACTACCATATTGTTAACTATAATATATTTTAGAAGCTAATTAATGTTGCAAATACAGAATTATAATAATTTCAATATGTAGTTTGGATATTTTAATATGCTCTATTTCAAAACTAAGCTTTGACTAGATTACACTCATTGAACATATTAAATAAAATAGTCTGTAAATATAGACCATTCTATTAATATGAAAAAAAGCATGAGAAGCATAAAATGTAAACTTTTCTTAAAATTAGGATACTCTAAACAAAAACAATAAAAATATTTGATAAAACGTTGAAGCACATCTTAATGCTTGTTTATTCAATGTTATTATATTATTAATGTTAAATAATGGCATACCTGGAAAAGCTATAGTGAACAATAATAAATGAAATTTTACATTGTTAATTAAATTAATTTGAACATCCTATTACATTAATAAAAAAATTAATAATTGCTTTGGTTTAAAACGTGGTGCATTAATCTCTTGAATGAGCCGCTTTGATGAATTTCTCCAGAATCATTCAAAGGCTGTAAGATAAAATAAAATATATAATCAAAAAAAGTAT